TCCCTAAGAGTGGGGAGTGGAAGAGTCATCGGAAAACTCCTTTACTTCTTGTGAGGCTCATAATTCTTCAAAGAACGTGTCCCAGCCATGGTCTGGTTGTTTTGCTGCAGAACATTTTCTTGGTGAATGTGGTCAAGCAAGAAACTAGAAGCCAAATAACTGGGTTTGGGAGAACACATCCTGCAAGTTCTTAAAATTTTTCTTAAATGGATATTTTCTAGCATACTGTTTGGTTTGAATTGTATTCTCCCCTAAAAGATATGTTGAATTTCTAACCCCAGTATAGAGCCTTTACAGAGCTAATCAAGTTAAAATGAAGTCATTAGAGTGAACTTTCTTTAATTTTTTGTTGTAAATCAAGTCTGCTTAACAATGAATATTCTCAGTTTTTGCTTATTTTGGAACGTTTTAATTTCATCTTCATTTTTGAATGATAGACTTTTGTATGTAAGATTCTTGGTTGACAGGAAATCAGCTGTTAGTCTTACTGAGATTCTCTTTTATGTGGTGAGTCATTTTTTTCCCTTTCTGCTTTCAAGATTTTCTCTTTAAGTTTGGCTTTCAACATCTTGACTATGATGTGTTTAAATGTGGCTTTCTTTGTATTTTACTACTTCAAGTTTGTTGAGCTTTTTGGATATGTAGATCAGTGGTTTTTAAAAAAATAAAAATTGGAGAGTTTCCAATCATGATTTCTTTTCATCTTTTTTCTGTCTCTTTCTCTCCTCGCTGTCTAGTAATGTCATTATGCACATGTTGGTACACTTCATGGCGTCCCACATTTCTCTGATGGTCTGCTCATTTTTCTCCACTCCTTTTTCTTTCTTTCTTGAGATTGCATCATCTCTATTGATCTCTCAGTTTGTTTTTACTTTCTCTGCTAACATTCTTGTGCCAACTCGAATCTACTACGGAGCCTCTCTACTGGATATTTTATTATTATTATACTTTAAGTTGCAAGGTACATGTGCAGATCATGCAGGTTTGTAACATACATAGACACATGTCTTGGTGGTTCACTGCATCCACCCCCTTGTCATCTACATTAGGTATTTCTCCTAATGTTATCCCTCCCCAATCCCCCCTTCCCCTGCTATCCCTCCCCTAGCCCCCCACCCCCAACAGGCCCCTGTATGTGATATTCCCCTCCCTGTGTCCGTGTGTTCTCACTGTTCAACACCCTCTAGTGGACTTTTCAATTCTAGAATTTCAATTTGGTTCTCTTTTTAAAAAGCATTATGTCTTTGTATTGATATTCTGTGTTTGAAGAGTCATTGTTACAATACTTTCTTTTAATTCTTTAAACATGGTTTCTTTTAGTTCTTTAAACATAGTCCTAATACGAAGTCATTGTTTGCTAAGTCCAGCATCTAAATGCTCCCTTCAAGGGCAGTTTCTTTTGCCTGCTTTTATGTGCCTCCTGTGTATGGATCACACTTTGCTGTTTGTTTGTTTGTTTGTTTGTTTGCAATTCTCATAATTTTTTGTTGAGAACTATATTTGCCTGTTCTTGCACTGCTATCAAGAAATATCTGAAACTGCATCATTTATTTAAAAAAAGAGGTTTAATTAGCTCTTGGCTCTACAGGCTATACAGGAAGCCTAGTGGCTTCTGCTTCTGAGGAGGCCTCAGGAAACCTTACGATTATGGTGGAAGACGAAGGGGAAAGAGGCAACTCTTATATGGCATAGAATGGGGAAGAGAGAGAAAAAAAGGAGGCGCCACACGCTTTTAAATGACCGGATCTCACTATCACAGCGGCACTGAGGGAATGTTGCTAAGCTATTTACGAGAAACCACCCCCATGATCCAATCACCTCCCACCAGGCTCCACCTGCAACCTGGGGACTATAATTAGACATTGGATTTGGGCAGGGACACAGATCCCAATCATACCAGGAACTGTTCCGTAGCAACTCCAGATACTACTCTGCTATTCCCTCTAGGGCTTAATGCTGTTATTTGGTTTGTCATGTGTTTACTTGTTTAGTGACTTCACTGAACTAATTTTGTGAGATCGGTTTCCCCTGCAATGTGCAGCTCATGATGTCCCTGCTCATATGTTTTCCTCTTCGTGTTTTTTTTTTTTTTCTCTCTTATCCTGGCTTTCTAGACGTTGTACTTGAGTCTGCATAAGCCATTTATTGGTGAAAAGTTGTGCTTAAGCCCCCTTAATTAGATTGGTTTCACTCTTTACTTTTGGCTGTGAATATAGTTTGGAAACATCTCTCACAGCTCAGGGTTCAACTTTGCCCCATGTTCAATCAGGAACTGATAGTCCAGCATTTCTTTCTCCAGTCACTCCTGAGAGTGACCAGCCTGGGCGTGCACAGTCTTCCAGACCACCAGGAAATGAGTGTAATTTTATTTTTAAGCCTGGCTTCCTAAGAATCCCCTTTGAGTCAGATTAGCTTATTGTTCAGCCATTGTTTGTTCAGAGGTGTGCTTAATTAAGCCTCTTGAGCAAGTGTTTTGCTGATGGGTCTGTATGTGATTTATGAAATGATTTCAAGTCTGCCACACTTTCCACTCTGATCTGTCCTGTGTGGGTGCAGCCCGGCATGGGAGCACAATCTTCTGAGTCCTCGGGGATGACTGTAGTCCTAGAATCACTATTCTTGGTTATTTCCTTTTTTTTTTTTTTTTGAGATGGAGTTTCACTCTTGTTGCCCAAGCACAATCTCGGCTCACTGCAAGCTCCGCCTCCCGGGTTCAAGCGATTCTCCTGCCTCAGCCTCCCAAGTAGCTGGGATTACAGACATGCACCATCACGCCTAATTTTGTATTTTTAGTAGAGATGGGGTTTCTCCATGTTCGTTGGGCTGGTCCCAAACTCCTGACCTCGGGTGATCCGCCTGCCTCGGCCACCCAAAGTGCTGGGATTACAGGCATGAGCCACCACGGCTTCTTGGTTATTTCTTTACCTGGTTCTCTGTGAAATTTCTGGGCTTACATTTCACTTGATGCCATTAGTATCAGATCCTTCCTTAATTGCTGGCCATCAAGACTTCCATTATTTTTGTCAACTTCTTTAGGATTCTTTCCAAATAGAGTTAGTCCACTCAGGAAAAGCTGTGGAATTCTCCATCCTGAAGTCCTGACTCTCTCCCTGTGCAGAACTTTTGCACCACGGCACCCCTGGGGATAGGCCAATCAGCCTGCTTCTCCAGGAGGGATATCCATCTGTTCTGAGTGGGCACTGGAGTGGAGGATGGTGTCTCCTGATCTCAGGTTGGCCCTCTCAGCATGGCCCCTGCCCTGCCAGGGAGTTAAGGTCTGGCATTCCTGGCCTGCTACACCTGTTGCAGATCCCTTGCCCCAGTGGTGGGAGCTGAGTGGGTAAAGGGAGTGTCATGGGTTGAAGTGTTATGTTGAAATTAAAAGCAACATGTTGGCCGGGCGTGGTGGCTTACGCCTGTAATCCCAGCACTTCGGGAGGCCGAGGCAGGCGGATCACAAGGTCAGGAGATCAAGACCATACTGGCTAACATGGTGAAACCACGTCTCTATTAAAAATACAAAAATTAGCTGGGTGTGGTGGTATGTGCCTGTAGTCCCAGCTACTCAGGAGGCTGAGACAGAAGAATCGCTTGAACCCAGGAGGCAGAGCTTGCAGTGAGCCGAGATCACGCCACTGCACTCCAGCCTGGTGAGAGAACAAGACTATGTCTAAAAAAAAAAAAAAAAAAAAAAAAAAAAAAAAAAAAAAAAAGACCTGAAGTCCTAACCCCTAGTACTCCAGAATGTGGCCTTATTTGGAAATAGGAGGTTTCTACAGGTAATCAAGGTAAAATGAGATCATTAGGATGGGCCCTAGTCCAACATGACTTGAGTCCTTACGCAAAGGGGAACTTGATGCATCAACAGATGTGCAGAGGGAAGACAGTGCACACAGGGAGAACGCCATGTGAAGACAGAGCGATACATCTACAAGCTTAGGAGCACCAAACGTTGCCGGGAAACCACCAGAAGCTAAGAAAAGGCAGGGAAGGATTTCCCTACGGATCTCATGGGGAGCATGGCCCTGTGGACACCTAGCATTCAGAACTGTGAGACAATCGATTCTGTTGCTTAAGCTCAATTTTGTGGTACTTTGTATGGGAACCGCAGGAAACTCAGTCCTCTCTGCTGTGATGACCTGGAATAGGGCTTCTACAGCACAGAGCTGCAGAGAGAAGAGATTCTGGCAGCCTATTCCTCCTGGGGTGAAACTGCGGAAGGTTAGGAGCTGCGGGATGAGGGAGCCCATCTTCCTGGCTGCATCCATCCAGAGCAGAGGATCTGGTGGGGAGTTTCCATCACATGGGGCTCGGGGTGGGGGATGGGAACACGCGTGTCTCAAATGCCACCGACTTGCTGTTCTTACTGAGCACTCCATGTGCTCAGTGTCCTTAGAACAATTTCTAGAGACTTTAAATAGTTGATTTAAAGTTTTTCTCATCAGTTAAACTGCTGTTTCCCTGGAGAAAGGGTCCACTAAGCTCCTCACATCATCATTCTGGGAGTGCCACCTGTGTAATTTTTGGCAGGTTAGGACAGGAGATTCAGCTCAGAGAAGGCTATCCCGTCGCTTTGTGTCCCCCTCCTCTTGGATGAGACCAGAGTCCTCCCCCAGTCCCTACTTACGTGGAGACAACCAACCCCAAGACCTGCCTCCCTTCCCCACAGAGCAGCAGATACAGGAAGGCAGAGGAGAGCTCCTGGCCCTCATCACACAGCTGAGGACTTAGTACCAGTGTGACCCCAGAGGGTGCCCACACCAGATCACTTCTATGGGGCGGATGACAGATCCCAGGAAAAGGGGAGCAGTGAGAGGGAGAAGGGGCATGGCTTGGGGACCCTCAGGCTTCCCCCCACACAGGGACAGAGTAAGAAAATGGGGTGGTGAGATGGGGGTCTCAGAGCCAGGACCCCTGCTGGATATAAATGCCCCACCCCGTGGATGCTCATGAAATGGTATTTTACTCTCCACGAAAGACCCACTCTGTTCCCTAGCCTGCCCCTTTGAGATAGAATGGTTTATTTAAATCAGATGTAAAGGGTAGAGAGAGACAGAATACAAGCCCCACGGGTCCATTTGCCTCGGAGACGGGAAGTCTGCCCCATCCTCCCAGGTTTTCCTGGTCCTAATCTCCTCTGAGGGCTGAAGGCTCTTGCTGGTGACCCCTCACTGCTCCAGGGACGGTGTCAGCTCAGGGCATTGTGTTGTAGACCCTATAGTTGTCCTTCTGCGTGATGTGCAGCTTCCAGGGGAAGAGGCGCTTCTGGGAGGGGAGGCTGCCAGCCTGCCTCACCATGAGCGCCACATCCTCATCCGACAGCAGCCGAACCAGATCCCCCTCCGCGTCCCGGTAATTCAGGGTGATGTCCTCCCTCTGGAACTCCCGCCTGCATGGGAATGGTCAGGGTTAATCAGAGGGCCTAAGCGTACGGGAGGGATAGGAAGAGGGGTAAAAAGAATTTTATGTCCTGAAGCCAGGAGTTAGAAAAGACCAGAGCCTGATACAAGCCCGTATCATCCAAGTAATCCAACCTCCCATTGTACAGATGGGGATATTGAGGCCTAAAAGGGAGAAGAGGATGGGCGCGGTGGCTCATGCCTGTAATCCCAACACTTTGGGAGGTCAAGGAGGGGGGATCATCTGAGGTTAGGAGTTCGAGATCAGCCTGGCCAACATGGCGAAACCCTGTCTCTACTAAAAATACAAAAATTAGCTGGGTGTGGTAGCACACGCCTGTTGTAGCAGCTACTCAGGAGGCTGAGGCAGGAGAATCACTTGAACCTGGGAGACAGAGGTTGCAGTGAGCCAAGATTGTACCATTGCATTCCAGCCTGGGCAACAGAGTGCGACTCTGTCTCAAAAAAAAAAAAAAAAAAAAAAAAAAAAAAGTGGAGAAGAGACTTTCACAGGAAATTAGTGGTGCAGCCTGAAATGTCTTGTGTATAAATGTGCTAAAGGCTTAGGAGTTGTTATGAAGAAGAATAGGCTTGGCTGGGCACAGAGAAGGGCTGTATAGAGCCTCAGAGAGATGCCTGCGTGAGGCTATTGAGGAGAATCTTGTAAGGACAGGAACTGTCTGGCGTGGCTGTGGGAAGATGTTCATTCTTCTATTTGGCTGGAGCACCTAGAAACTGATCTGCGCTTTCTACCAGTCATTTGACAGTGGGGCAGAAGCCTCTGAGACTTGCAAACGCTTTGATCCCCAATTCCACTTCTTGAAAATCATTACAAGGAAATAATCAGATAAGTCATTGAGTAGGTGAATGAAGATGGTCTGTACAACGTTGTTTAAAGTAGTTTTAAAAAGTAGAAGAAATCCTAAGAGGCCAGCAGAAGGGCAAGACCACATTAATGATGTAGCCACAGGAAGGTTTTGTGCAGCCAAAGTAACCTTTGTGTGTGCACGTGTGTGTGGGGGTGTAAGTACTGAAGAAACCTGAGTGTACGTCACATAATGAGGGGGTTAAAGCTAGGAGGTGATTCCACTTCTTCCTACCTTTCTGGCATGATTTCTGACATTTCTTTTTTTATATCATGAGTTGGAACAACTTTCATGGTCAGAAACGTCACGATGAGATTACCATTTTATAAAAGAACATCTAACAATGTCCTGGACCTGGGGAGGTGGTGAGTCCCTGATGGTGGATGGTTCAAGTCCAGGCTTTTAGTCAGAGAGACTTGAGCTCCAGTTGCAGATCCAGATTTAAATTCACAACTTGTGTGAGCTCAGCCAAGTCCCCCAACCTCTCTGCAGCTTCCCAGCTCATCTCTAAAGTGGGGAGATGCTACCTAACCTGCAGGCTGAGCTGCGGATAAAATGAGAAGGCAAAGTACATGCAAAACCCCCAGCCCCTTCATACTAACGCTTGACATTTCCCCCTGCTTTCCCTTCTCCAGAGAGTCTGAATCCCCAGCCCCGTTCCCAGCCCCTCACCTCGTGAGCTCCAGCAGGTCTTTGAATAGGGGAGTGCTGTTAAGATCTTCCTCCACCGCGATGTCCCTGTGGGGGTGACAGTTTGGGGTAAGGAGGCATCAGGCTGGAAGTAGGGTATAGGGTGGGGGAAACGGTAATGAGGCTGGCCAAGCTATCCTGAATGTTGATGTCTTGTTACAGCGTTGTGGCTCATCTGGGAGCCACTGCAGGCTTTGGAGTGGGAGAGGGGCCCACGGGAGGGTGATATGAGGGGTGGTAGTGGTAGGGATGGCAGGAAGGCCGGACAGGCCCCTCCCTCCAGGCCACAGACTTGATGGTGCTGATGGTGTCTTCATAGTAGTAACAGCGCAGCCAGTTGGTGGGGTCGTCCTCCTCAGGGAAGTCTTTTAGGATCTTCACGAAGGAGAGAGGGAAGATTCCTGTGGCTCCCCGGACAGTGCCCTGCAGAGGAAGGGAAGGGATGACCAGTTGGCAAGAGGAGAGGTGGCAGAGCCACGCCTTGGAGCCCTCGGCCTTGTTCTTTTTTTTTTTTTTTTTTTTTTCTGAGACGGAGTTTCGCTCTTGTGACCCAGGCTGGAGTGCAATGGTGCGATCTCGGCTCACCGCAACCTCCGCCTCCTGGGTTCAGGCAATTCTCCTGCCTCAGCCTCCCGAGTAGGCTGGGATTACAGGCACGCGCCACCATGCCCAGCTAATTTTTTGTATTTTGAGTAGAGACGGGGTTTCACCATGTTGACCAGGATGGTCTCGATCTCTTGACCTCGTGATCCACTCGCCTCGGCCTCCCAAAGTGCTGGGATTACAGGCTTGAGCCACCGCGCCCGGCCTGGCCTTGTTCTAATGATGGGGAAAGTTAGGCGAGGTCCGGGTCTTCTGTAGAGGGAGGAGAGAAAGCAAGGAAGTTCGTCGAGCTGGTCACTTCTAAGAAGACTTATATTTGGTCTTATATATATTTTTGACATATTGTAAAACAATATAAGTCTTCTATTGTAAAACAATATAAGTCTTCTAAGAAGACTTATATTGTTTTACAATATGTCAGAATCTGAATTTATATGGAAAGCTGCTTTTATCTCATTCATTCAACAAAGAATTCTTGAGAACCAGCCATATGACAGGCTCTGGGATCTCAAAATAGATAAAAGTCCTTGGGCCGGGTGCGGTGGTTCATGCCTATTATCCCAGCACTTTGGGAGGCCAAGGTGGGTGGATCGCCTGAGGTCAGGAGTTTGAGACAGCCTGGCCAACATGGCGAAACCCCATCTCTAGTGAACATACAAAAATTAGCAGGGTGTGGTGGCGCACGCCTGTAATCCCAGCTACTTGGGAGGCTGGGACAGGAGAATCACTTGAACCCGGTGGGTGGAGGTTGCAGTCAGCCAAGATCGCGTCATTGCACTCCAGCCTGGGCAACAAGAGCAGAACTGTGTCTCAAGAAAAACTCCTTGCCCCAGTGGAGTTTCCAGTATGATGAGGAATGACAGGTCATGCCCACCTGTGCACAGTAACCTATCCAGTGAGTCAGATGCGGTGGGTGTTAAGGAGGGAAATAGAACAGAGGAGGAAGCGGATGACGGGTGGCCCAGGGCCTGCTGCTGATCCACTCAGTCATTTGCTCAGCAGAAACAACTGCGCCCCGCCTCTAGACCAAGTAGCCAGAAACCAGACCCATACCCGGCCAGTGCCTGGCCTTTGTGCATATGTTCTGTTCATCTTCACAATGACCCTGTGGAATACGGATTCTTCACATGCCATTTTACAAACATATTAACCAAGGCTCAAAGTGGTCCCCTCCCTGCCCCTCTGCCCCTCCTTCAGCCTGAAGCCAGAAGTTAGCCAGCATACTGATAAGTAGGACTTTCCGGAAAACAGGAAGGCAATACATTTTCGATTTCTGGAAAGTGACCCAGAAAGACCCTTCAGGCAGCAGTAAGAGCCCTGAGTTCCTGAGACAGAAATCTATGATTAGGGTAAAATGGAAACTGCTGAATTGGTGAAACCGGTGGCCACTACTAACTCCTCTCCAGGTCCTGGACGCCAGGGACCCAATTCAACTTTTAAAGGTCCTGGCACCCCCGGGGGCTGACCCTGCCTCTGGACCTGTCCCAGAACCTCCTTCAGACACTCCCCACAAGAGCAGTAAGTCTAAAGACAGGACCTAATACAAAAGGCCTGCCCCAGGCGAAGGTCAAACACAGCCACTTCCTACCTCCACTCACTGAGTCAGAACGGAGCCCTTCTGTGGGAATTACTGGGACAAAGCAGTGACCGGGAAAGGCCCTGGCTTCAAAGTTTCATTTAAGTCTCCTAAGGACCCTCGTGCCTGGCCAGGCGCCATGCATCCAGGCTCTGGGGCGAGCCCTGGACATCTATCACCTCCTTTACCCCTTCCAGGAACCCGATGAAGAAACATTTACAGAAAAGGACACCACAAAGGTTGAGCAAGTTCCAAAGGTCCACAAAGCCAGCGGAAACACAGCCAGGAACTGACCCAAAGAGGCTGGCTCTGACTTCACGCTCTTCACCAGCAGCTTTTATTGCTGCGGGCAGGGTAGGTACTGTTGTCCTGTATTACGCAAGTGGTTGCGATTTCGCCCCCCCGGGAGCAAATGTCTGGAGAGCTAATTGATTGCTGCAACTTAGCAGTGCTGCTGGCATCTAGTGGAGAGGCCAGGGATGTTGCTGAACACCCTGAAATGCTCAGGACAACCCCACAAGGGATCATCTGGCCCCAATGTCAATAGTGACCCGGCTGAGAAACGTGTTGCAGACCAAGAAACTAAACTCAGTAGGTTAATCTACTTGCTCTAAGCAACAGTTTTTCAGGGTCAGAAGCAGACAGGTGCATGAGCTCCAGAACGTTGTGCTCCCACCAGACACCTGCCCTCCCACAGGCTGTGTTCCTGCAGGCTCCCCAGCCTACCTGGATCTCCAGGACTATCCTCAGATGGCACCTCTTCCCTGAGGCCTTCCAGTACCATCCTCAGTCTCTGTCCCCACACAATGCCTGAAGCAATGGCACCTCCAGCCTCACCTCTAATCTCAGCCTATCCTTACCTTCATTCTCACCTCCGACCTCACCTCCAACCTCATCTCTAACCTCACCTTCATCCTTAACTCCACACTCATCAGCGTCCTCACTTCTAATCTCACCTCCACCCTCACCTCCAATCTCACCTCCACCCTCAACTCCAACCTCACCTCCACCCTCACCTTCATCTCAGCTCTAATCTCACCTCCATCCTCACTTCCAATCTCACTTCCATCCTCGCCCCCAACCTCACCTCCATCTTCACCTCCATCCTCACCTCTATTCTCACTTCCAAACTCACCTCCAGCCAGTCTTTGTTGATCCGACTGAGGAGGAAGATCACATCTCCAGCTTTGAAATTCAGCTCCAGTTTGCTGTTTCCAGTGAAGTCAAATAGGGCCTAGGGAGAAGCGTGCAGTAAGGAGAGAGGGGGAAAATGCTCACTCACTGAGTTCCTATAGAAGTGACTTACATACTTTAGTGTCCCATATTACAGATGTTGAAACTGAGGCTCAGGGAGAATAAGCGACCTGTCTGAAGCCACCCCATTTTTTTAAGGGAGGAGCTGGGATTTGAACCCAGGTCTCTCTGACTCCAGGATGGGTGCTCCTTCCAGATCTGGTGGGGCTGGGCACACAGGTAAGGGCTTGAACTCTCTGGACTAAGCACCCACGCTGGTCCCCAGGCTTCATCGTGGGTTGGGCCTTGTCTGCGTCATCTCTGCGGCTTCCGTGCCTAAGGCAGGGCCGACTCAGAGGAGGTCCAGGCAAACTGGCCGGATGAACATCCGGATGGAAGTGTTCTCTGGCTCTTCACACTGGTTACATTTCCCTCCACTCAGCTGGGCTCGGGGACCCTCAGTGGCAGAGGATGCGGCTGTAGCCCCTTCCTTCCTCCCGGTGCCCAGCACTGTCCCAGATACACAGCAGCGCCCAGCAGGAGAGGCCCAGTGGTGGTAGGTGGGCCAAGACCGATGCCCGTGGGGTGAGAGCCTTGCCAGTGAGGGTACCTCTGCTCTCGGAGCTGCCAAGCTGTCAATGCTGGTGCCTTGTGAAGACACGCTCTTGCTGTGGAGAGAGAAGAGGCGCTTGTCAGCCCTGTGATTCCCTCGGAGCCCAGCTTCCTGCTTCTGTGTCCAGAGGAGCCCCTTTCCAGGAGTGGGGAAGGCAGGGGAGAGAGAAGGGGCTGCAGTTGCTCCTCCGGGCCAGCAACGTGTCCCCAAATCCTCATAGCCGCTTTGGAAGTGGGACTGTTCTTTACGGATCAGGAAGGCTCAGAAAGCAGGTGGGGAGGCAGCTACACGCTCATTCGTGCCTTTCACTTTTGTCCGTTTTTCTGCTCCCTACAACCAAGCTCCGATGTAAATGTGACTGTTCTAATTTTTCAGCTGAGGAAACTGAGGCTTGGAGAGGTGAAGGGCCTTGCTCTGGGGCCTGTGGCTGCCATGTGGCACAGCTGGAATTAAGACACACCTGCCTGTGTGCACAGGGGAGACGCCAGGCGTGGAGAGGACCCTTGGAGACACCGGGAGAACGTGGAGGGATAAGCTGGTGGGCAGCTCAAGGGCTCCGTCCTGCTTTCCCAGAATTCTTAGTAGCAGCGACCTGGGCCTTGGAAGCCCAGCGGTCTATGAGTGGCTTGAATTTTTGGTAGGAGGGATGAGCTTTTTGGAGTAATGGAGCAGCAGTGTGCCCTGGAGGCCAGTGTGATGCAACCAGAGCCACAGCTGGTCCCACGGAGCTACCACACACCAGGGAGAAGGCATTCCCAGAGATGCTCAGGGGATGTTTGAGGACGGAGCGGCACTTCCGTCCTCTCTGTCCCCAACTCTTTCAGGCACCCAGAGCTTCTGGGCCACCCCAGTGATTGCACCAAACTCTCTGGAGTCAATATCCCAGTCCTTGTCCTCCAGTCCTCATTATCACAGTGAAAGGCACACACCCTCTGTCCCTCCAAGCCTGAGCGTGACTCTCCAAACCCATCTAATAAACCAAATTATCCTGAAGCGTCCAGGGATAGGGTTGATCTGTATTTTCCGTCTCTCCTTTTGGGGAAAAGAGATGCTTTTCCAGCAGGGGCCCAGGGCTCTGGCCATGTGGGAGCCCAGGGGCTGGTCACTTACACTTTCCGGGTGCGTGGGCGGAGCCGGCGGAGTGCCTGGGGCACCTGCTCCGCGTCGTAGGGTGACTGGTAAAAGAAGATCCGGACGTCCTCATCCATCAGCACCCAGACTGGCAGGCTGAGCAGGTTCTGTGTGGGTGAAACAGCAGGACCGGTGGGGTGGTCAGCAGAAAGATCGGGACCCCACAGCCCAGATGTCCCATCCCCAAGCCCTGACCTTAGCCCTCCTCTCTTTACTAATGCATGATGCCTGAAATGTATTGTTAAAAAAAAGAAAGAAAGAAAAAGAAAACTCAACATGTTGAAGGGTAACACTTCACAAGCTCTGCTCCTGGGTCCAAGGTCAGGAGAGGGACCATGGGCTTGAGAGGAGTCCATTCGGAAAAGACTTAAAGTTCTCCAGAAACAGCAATAATGGTGATGACAGGTAACATGACCTGGCGGTGACTTTACCAGGTGGATGTCATCTGTGTGCCCTTGCCCCATCTCATGACATCCTGTGACTTAGGATTAGAGAGGTGAAGGGATCTGCCCAAGGTCACACAGCCTAGCAAGTGACAGAGCTGGGGCACTCAGAGCCATCTGCCACTAAAGGCTACCCCACAGCTCAAGGTGAGACAATATTGGTGGCATTATAGCCTACAAAATGCTTCCTGATATTTTAATCTCATATGATCGTTGGAGAAACTGAGGCTTGGAGAGGGAAAGCACCTGGCCAGGAGAGCAGAGCTCTGGGGCAGGACCCGGACTTGGGCCCCAGTGTCCTTGTTGCATCCAAGCTGGTTACACCACCATGATGCAAAGACATTGAAGCCGTGAGCCTGTGAGCACCCAGAGCCTGGCCAGGTCATCTCACCAAGCTCCAAGCACACAGGTCTGGGGACACGGAGGTTGGCTTTGGGTGCTGAAACTCCAGAGGCACCCAGAGCCCTGCAGAGAATCCCATGGGGACAGCAGGATGAGGTGAGGTTGGGGAACTTTGTCCCAGATGAACTGGGGATGCGGAGCCCAGAAAAGGCTGTCATATGGGGACAGCCTGGGAGGAGTTTAAGGAGCCAGGGGCCCCTGGGATCGAATCCCAGCTCTGCCTGTCGCCAACTGGGTGGCTTAGGGCAAACCTGGCTCCAGATGGTCAATAATAAAATGGGGAATAGGAGCCTCTCCCTCGTGGGGCTGTGTGAGAATTAAATGAGTAAACATATGCACAACCCTGAGAACAACACCAGGCATATAACAGGTGCCCATCAGAGTGAGATATCATCATTGTTACTGCCATTTTCATTACAGTGAGGCACAGTGGGTAAGAGCTTAAACCCTGGAGTCACAGAGACATGAGTTCAAATCCCATCGCACCTCCTTACCTTCTCTGTCACACTGACTTCACTTCTCTAGCATCTAACTCACAAGTGATTGAGGGGAGTAAATAAGATCATTCATTTATCTACAAATGTGTATCAAGAGCCTCCTGGTTGCCAGTCAAAAGTCTTCACACAGTTTCAGGCAATTGTCATTAGCACGTGATTCACATGCTTCATGAGGGCAGGGTGAGACCAGCGGGTAGGACTTACAGATAGTTGGGGGCTTTTCTCATAGCTGCCCAACAATAGGACAAGCAGCCTGGGTCAGGGCAGAGTGGTAGTGAACTCCCCGTCTCTGAGGGTATGCAAGCACAGGATGGGGTTGCCACAGCAAAGATTCCTGCACTGACTGATCTCAGGAACCCAGTTGGACACAAAGAGGCAGAGACGGATCCTCTGGGCTGCTGGTTGCTAAGACCAGGTATGGAATGAGCAGCCCCAGTTCTCCATCCTCGCCTTCTACCTTCTCTTCCTCCTTCCATCCCTCCCTCTAGAGCCCACTCCCTCATTCTAGCCCAGGGGGAGGAGGGTCGAGCCGCAGCCACCCTCAAGGAGCAGTTGTCACATGCCCCTTTGAGGGGAGACACCACCAGTGGCAGAGCCCACCCAGATTCCCTCCCTCCCTCTTCCCGGCTCAGAGCCCAGGATTCCTGCAGCTGCCTGCTCTCTCCTCATTCCTCCCACCTCCTCTGCCCTCCATCTGCTCCCTCCCACCACCAAGAGTCAAAGATCTCTCACATTCTGGAAGCAGGTTCACAGTTTGCAAAGCACTTTCTCATCCTGTTCCTAACAGATCCCAACTTCACTCCTGTGATACCAGAGGGCACTGCCCCATTTCACAGGTGTGAAAACCAAGGTCTAGAGAGGATGGGCACCTCACCCCAAATCATGCAGCCAGTCCAGGTCAGAGCCAAGACTAAAGAGACTAGTACTCTTCAGCCCTGAGGATGCCCCTGGGCTGAGACGAGGGCTTCCCTTGCCCACTTCCTGAGATCGCTATCAGGCCTCTAGTGGCGGAGCACTCACGGCCACCTCATGAGGAGCACTGCCTCTTTCCTAGATGGCTCTGGCTGGTGGAAGTCCTTTCCTGCCCACCTTGGCCTCTGCCTTTAAGATGCTCCTTCTTCTATGCTTTTATCTCATAGAGAGGCAGAATTTGCAGGTCTGAGAATACACAAGGGCGCCCAGCCAAGACCCACGAGTGTAGCTAAAATCCAGCCCATGCTCAGGTGAACGGGTGTGTTGGACCAGAGAAGGCTTTCTCTAGTTTGCACAAAGATGCTATAGGAGCAACCTGTGGCCTGCTTGGCCACACCTCCATGACGGAGGCACACATAGGCCTCCGTGTGATCTCATGATCCACGTGTTGGCATTTCCATGAAACAGCTGATACCTCAGGGGTAGGCACTGGATGAATTCACCTTTGTATTTTAATGCCTGGCACAGACTTTCACCTGTGGGCTTGGAGCACTAAATGAAGACTTGTCAGTTCCAAGGGTGGCTCCTGTACCTTCTCTATTGATTGGTGCCTATCCCTGGAACGCTAACAGAAAAACCCATCCTGTTTTTCTCCTCAGGCCAGGCCTTTAGGGATTAAAGATGGGGCCATCGGAGCCAGAGAGCCAGCCCCAGTTCCCAAAGCCACACCCAGGGATGGTACTTAGGCTCCCCCCACCAACATTCCATGCCCGCCCATGTGCCAGGGTGGCAAGGCCCGCTGGTACCTTCATGTAGGCGTTGAGGGCAGGTATCCGCATCTCAGCGATCTCCTGTTTCACACCCACGTAGACTTTGGCTGAGAAGAAGCAAAGAGCTGTCCTAGGAGCCTGGCCCAACATGGCCCCAGGGCTCAGAGCTGCCCCTGCAGGCCAGGAATCCTGGCCAGAGCCCCTTTCCTATGGCTTGGCATTCTTCCCTGTTACCTTTTCTGGCACCATCTCCCCTTCCAGCTTTCCTCCTGTGAGCTGTGCTATCACCAGCTGATCTTTTTCTTGTTTTATGTTTTGTTGTTGTTTACTGCTTGCTCAGCCAAACACAGACACACACACACACACACACACACACACACACACACACACACACAGAGTCTCTCTCTCTCCCTCCCTCCCTCTCTCTCTCTCTCTCTCTCTCTCTCTCATGCACCCGACTCTTAGTAGGAAGAGAGCAGGATTTTCGTCTGCTTGTCTCACAGCCGTTCACCCCTCACCCAGGACAGTGGCAATCCTCGCTGCACATTCAAGCTCCCCAAGGCATTTGTAAATATCTCGCTATGTAGCACTTGCCCCAGAGCAATTAAATCAGAAGCTCTGGGGGTGGGACTCAGGAACCAGGATTCTTTCCATCTCTCAGGCACTTCCATATGCCACCAAGGTTAAGAACCATGGGCCTAGAATCATGCCCAGATGAATTAATGTGTGTTGAGTGGATGAATGAACAATTCCTCAAGCTCAAGGCAGAATGTTCTGGAAGAAAAGGGAACATGACGGGCAACCGAGAGACAACTGTCCCCTCCAGGAGCCTCCAGGTGGGCGCACTGGTGGAACCATTCACCTAGAGAACCCCTAGGAGGAAGCGAGCCTGAAACCTGCCTGACTCCCGGTGTCCAGGAGATGGACAGAGGTGCTGGTGCTGGTGCTGGTCGGAGGGTCTGGGCTAGAGCTAGACATTTGGGAGGTAGGAGTAAGAAGGTGACAATTAAAGTCGCAGACATGGGTCAGTTTGCCAGCGTGAGTGTTTGGAATGAGAAGACAAGGCAGGGGACAGAGGATGTCCCTTCAGAGGACGCTCACCTTCCAAGGAGTGGCAGAGAAGGTTCATTCTGTAACAGAGACACCGAAGGAGTTGACAATACGATGGGAAGGGGACTGGGAGACACTGGTGCCTCGGGAGGGCGGAGAAAGCTGAACAGAGGAGGGGGGGGGCGTGAAGATGAGGCTTGGCACTGCCCACGGAAGCCAGAGTGATGGGTCACGGCCCACCGCACTGAGAGGAATTTCAGTGGAGTGGTCAGAGCTAAGCCAAGCTGAGGGGTGAAGGAGAGGATGGCAATGCCAGGGTGAGCCAGTGCACGGATTGATTGCCAAAGGAAGAAGAAAGAGATCTTTGGGGACCCTGGGGACACGGAAGCTTGGGGAGGCTTGTTGTAAGAATGCTTCTTCAGGGCTCAGAATTGTTTAAAGACAGAAGGGGGTTGAGGCTGTGGAAACGCTTAGTAGAGGGAGTTGGTATATCAAGGGGAAGATGAATATCAGGATCAGAACCAAAGACAGGTGCATGAGCTCCAGAATGTTGTGCCCCCACCAGACACCTGCCTCCCCAAAGGCTGTGTTCCTGCAGGCTCCCCAGCCTGCCTGGATCTCCAGGACTATCCTCAGATAGCAAGGAAAATGGGATTGTCAGTGGAGACCCCAAAAGAGAGAGGAGGGAAAGTGATGGAGTCTGAGAGGGGAGGCTGGCTTAGAGCAGGAAGACTCCTCAGGGAGCTTCGAGTTCCTTGGTGGTGCTGGATGAGGAGGAGCAGGGTCATTGAGAGAGAGAGAGACAGAGCTACAGAGAACACAAGCTGGAGGCAGGGGCGGAGCTTGGGGAAGGGTCCCTGAGTCTTGGGGAAGGGAGACAATGGTTTCCCTCTCTCTGGCCTGCTGGGGATGGAGGGAGCCGCTGAGACATCCCAATCTAACCCACTCATGGTCGGGTTTCCTCCTGGGGGCGGGCACTGAGCAGCTAAGGGTGTGGCGCTGTCCAAGGTGCACGTTAAGACGCAGCCGGGGAGAAAGGACCAGGAGGCCAGGGGGCGAGGGGACTCTTTGCAAGCAGAGGTGTGATCCTGCCCAGCTTCCTGGCAGGACAGGGGTATAAGGAGAGCCACAGGGATGCTGGAAGCCAAGACCATGAAGTCAGAGGGCTGGTCTCGTGGGAGGAAGTTGAGGGCGGGCCGGGAGGTGTCTGTGTGTTTAGGGGCCAGACTCGGGAGATTCCTGTCTCGAGGAAGGGAGTCCGGGCGCTGACGTGCTCCAGACTGTGACCTCCCAGTAGTAAACAGCAGGAGTGGGTGGCCACCAAGATCATCAGAGCTCTGTGGCTGTGAGGCTGGAGTGCTTGGGGTGGAAGCCACAGCCACAGCTGTGGGGAGCTGTGTGGGAGGGCCGGCAGCTCAGGACTGCTGGGGGCGGGGCTATAAATTACATGAACAGTTTTCACATGAGGTTGAGATAAAATCACAGGACAGTGTCGGGCCCCGAGAGGAAGGAGAGCTCAGCAGCAGCAGGATGGGAGTGGCGCCTACCTGGGAGCGTGGGCAGGGCACAGGCCAGGGCACTGCTCTTACTCTCTGGCCCGAACCGCTCCTCCAGCTTGCTCTGCAAAGCATAGAACTGGCGGTAGCGGCGGTAGATGAGGTACTTGGATCCTCCTTTGGTCTTCACCTCGATGACGAAAACCTGGGGGGACAGGGGTTGGGGGAGGGCTCGGAGGCCAGGAGCAGAAGCTAAAAGGAGGTGGAGGGGAAGAGAGGAGGAGAAGGTGGGGTTAGGGGGAAGATGATGAGCATAAGGACGCAGAAGGATTTCTGGAGGAGGAGACCCTATCAAGTCAAAAGGCTGGTGCCCTAGAAGTAGGCGAGCTTTGCTTAAAAAAAAGAAAAAAAAAGCTGGAAAAAGTTGAGGAAGTGAGACCCAGCAGTAGATATAAGAGCCCTTGGGAAAAGGCCACACCCACATTCAGGCCCAAGAAATGAGGAGCCATCCCTTGAAGGTCACGGTGCAGAGCAGACCCGCCGCTGGCTGTGCTGTGGGCACAGGGTGCCCCTCCATCTGTGTCTGCATATGACAGGGGTGTTGTGGGGGGCAACACCAAAGCCCCTCACCCCCGACTCTCCAGGCGGGGGTTCAGAGGTCAAAGGATGACATCAGGGTTTCTCAACCTTCATGCCACGCTGGGGCAGGATAGCTCTTTACCGGGGACAGGGCTGTCCTGGGCACGGTGGGGTGTTTAGCAGCATCCTGGATTCTACCCACTAGATATGAACTAGACCTGCTCCAAGATGCAATCATCAGAATCTCCCAGGGTAATGGCAAATGGGCAAAATAGGGCCTGTTGAGCAGCACTGAGACAGAAGTTAAGAGATCAGAGAGTTGGAGGCTCAGAGGTCAGAGGGCAAGGTTCAGAGGTCAGCCGAGTGGAAGTTCGGAGGTTGTCGGGTGAAGGACCAGCGTCCCATCCCTCCACTCAAGGCTGTGTCTTGTTATTTCCGTGTTTCCAGGGTCTTTGTCTCTTACAAAGTAGCTGGTGAAGCCTCTCTTCTCCTCGATGTCGGCGATGTTGGCTGAGATGGCAACGTCATCCGGAAGCTGTTCAAAGTCACTGTGCGAAGCAGGGGCAAAGAAATCCTGGTTATCACCCTGATGTGTTTTGTGGGCTCACTGGGCATGAGGCAGCGTGCAAAGTGAACTGACGATGTGGATCCCACACTGGTCTCTCAGCACCCCTTCCCCGGCCATGTCCAGCCACTGACCCTGGAAATACGGAAATAACAAGACACAGCCCAGGCCCTGAGTGTAGGGATGGGACGCTGGCGGCCACACTGGGCGTCGAGATGGGACCCTAGCGGCCATATAGCAATAGCCAAATTATAGTTTAACACATTGTTGTCAACTGCACAGATTCATCCTGGAACAAGGCATCAAACATCTCCATACCAGGCCCGGTCCTAGGCCCTGGATCACAGGGGTAAACAAAGTCAACACGTGCCCTGGGTGGAGTGCTATGGGAGCCCCACAGAGAGACTGCCTCATTGTGCCCAGGTTGCGGAAATCCTCACAAAGGAGGTGACATGTGAGCAGGTCTAGAGGGTAGAAGAGGCATCTGCCAGGTGGAAATTGGGGACGGTCTTCCAGGCAGTGGGAGCAGTATGACCTGTGGAGTGGACCCCGATCTGTGTGGCTGGGGCCAGTGTGATCTGAGACTGAATGGGCAGGTGAGGCCAGTCTGAGGGTCCCAGGGGCCAAACAGGGAACTTCTGTAGCAATGGGGAGCCACATAGGGCTTTGAAAGAAAGTAAAACATAGGCCAGGTGTGGTGGCTCATGCCTGTAATCCCAACATTTTGGGAGGCTGAGGTAGAAGGATCACTTTAGGTCAGGAGTTTGAGACCAGCCTGGCCAACATGGCGAAACACCATCTCTACTAAAAATACTAAAAAATTAGCTGGGCATGGTGGCAGGTGTCTGTAATCCCAGCTACTCAGAAGGCCGAGGCAGGAGAATGGCTTCAATGAGGAGGCAGAAGTTGCAGTGAGCCAAGATCAAGCCACTGCTCTACAGCCTGGGTGACGGAGCCAGACTCCATCCCAGAAAAAAAAAAAAAAAAAGGAAAGAAAATAAAACACAATACTATGTTGGCTTTAGGGGCAGTTCAGGCAGGCATGTGAGGAGGAAAGAACGGCAGAGAGTTAGGGGAGAGAGCAGCACTGGGAGGCCCTGAATGGTCTGAGAGATTGTGTGCACCTGAGCCAGACAGCAGGAATGGAAGTCGGGGGGAGACAGACACAAGGGCCACCACCCTTGGTGGACACTGAGCATTTGCTGTATCCCCTGCTTCCTCCTGGCCTGCCAAGCACCGGTTTTGTTTAGAGCGGCCATGTGCCTAGCCCCAAGGTGATCATGATGGGTCTGAGCCAAGCATCACCATCCAGCTCCTGTTTCCCAGACTCCCTTGCAGCTAGGAGCAACCATGTGACCAGTTCTGGACAACGAGACCTAACAGCAAGCCTGGTGGAGGGGCTTCTCCAGAGTGTTTGCTTTTCTGATTCCAAGGGAGGGACAAGGTCAGCATGGTCTTCTCCTTTGAAGGCAGTCTTGAAGCAAGTGTGACATCTGGACCTACAGCAGCTATGTTGTCTGCATGTGGCAGGACATGAGAAGGGCCAAAGGAATCTCTGGGATACTAGTCCTGATGTCACTGGCCTGTAGAACCAACTAGGGCTTAGCTCTGAACTTTTGTGTGCGTGTGTGTGTGTGTGTGTGTGTGTGTGACAGAGTCTTGCTCTGTTCCCAGGCTGGAGAGCAGTGGTGCAATCTCATCTCACTGCAACCTCCGCCTTCCAGGTTCAAGTGATTCTCCTGCCTCAGCCTCCCAGGGAACTGGGATTGCAGGCATGTGCCACCACACCTGGCTAATTTTGTATTTTTAGTGGAGATGGGGTTTCACCATGTTGGCCAGGCTGGTCTCAAACTCCTGACCTCCCAAAGTGGACTTCTTGTTATGTGACCAAATAAGTCCCTGTTTGTTCAAGCCATCATCTGTGTCCCCATTCCCTGCAGCCTAATGAATTTTCAACAGACACATTACCAATTTCTTTTTGTTCCTAAGTTATGACCAGGAGAGGTTGGGAATTATTTGGATGTGGAGGTGAAAGAAAAGGCAGTGTCAAGAGTGACACCCACACTTCTGGCCAGGATGGCAGCTGGGGGCAGGGTTGATGGACTCAGTTTGGGGCATGCTAATTTGAGAGGCCTGCTGTGTAGCTAAGGATCTCAGCATGGGGGTCTTGGCTAAAAGGGGCCAGATAAGAAGAAGCTTCTGGGCCAGGCATGGTGGCTCACACCTGTTATCCCCGCACTTTGGGAAACTGAGGCAGGCGGATCACTTGAGGTCAGGAGTTAGAGACCAGCCTGACCAACATGGAGAAACCCCATCTCTACTGAAAATACAAAATTAGCCAGGCATGGTGGTGCATGCCTGTAATCCCAGCTACTTGGGAGACTGAGGCAGAAGAATCGCTTGAACCTGGGAGGCAAAGGTTGCAGTGAGCCGAGATCACACCATTGCACTCCAGCCCGGGCAACAAGAGGGAAACTCCATCTCTAAAAAACGTAGCTTGTGGGTAAGACTCCCGCTCCTGACTCAGTGAAGAGCTCTCAGGGAACAGAGGAGGGGGCTGAGAGGGACAGAGAGGGGAAGAGAAAACAGATGCCAAGGAGAGGAAGGAGGAACAGCCAGGCGTTGCTGAGGTCACTGAGTCCAGACACTTGGAGACAGGCAAGGAAACAAGAAGCAATTATGATTCTTCTGGTGCAGCAATTGGGAAACATGGGGTGGGCGGGATTGCAGGGGCTGCCAAGGCCAAGGCCCCAGAGCTGGCTGGGACCTCAGGAGTCTACACACCCTATTCCCAGTGCATGCCGGACCCACATGACCTGGAATCTGAGGGTGCATCAGAACTCAGGGTGCTGCACCCGAAGGTGACTCACAGTGGCAGTGGGTGGGTAGAGGAAATCCCCTCCCAGCCCCACTCTCCACACATGCCCCCAGGGTGATACCCTTGGGAGAAGCTTCTGCCTCCACTTTCTCCCGTGAGGCTGTGCTTGTCCTGGGTAATTTCCTCTGCAGTATGATGGGGTGGGGGGATGGGCAGGAAGGAACCTGAAGGGTTGAAACAGCCCTGAGCAGGGCAGCAGGCAGGTTGGGTAATAAGAACGGCAGCTACCTATTTCCTGAGGGCACCAGGAGCTCTTCTAAGACAGCATCGCCTTTGCACAGATTGGGAGACTGAGGCACAGCGAGATTAGCCCGAGTAAGTCGGGAAGCTGGGATCTGAGCCCAAGCAGTCTGGCTCCAGAATTTTGTTACCAAACCCTGCCACACTGCCCCGCTCTCTGAGCTTCCCAGCAACTTGCTGTGTGAACTAAAAAAATCCCAGCCCTTCTCAGCCTGTGTCCCCATCTAAAATTATTATAATTTTAGTGAACCTGTATGTGGCACTGCCTGTGGGCTAGACACTGTTCTAAGCCCATTAGGACATATGGGCTTCTCAGAGCTCACAGCTCCAAGGAGAAGGGAAGGGGGTGGTGAACACTAAACAAATAATGACAAAATTCAAACGGGCACAGTGCTGAAAAGGCAAACCACAGGAGCCTGGCCATTATTATATTCCCTCAAAGAATCGATCATGCAGCAGGCAGGAGACACTGGGAGCAGGAGCTTGTACTATGGAGGCTCATGCAGTGTCAGAGGGTATCTTCGGGCCGAGAGTGGTCAAGGAGGGCTTCCTGGAAGAAGCAGCGCCAGTGGTCAGCCAGGAAAAGCAAAGAGGAGTTGGTCACGGGACAGCAGGAAAGGCCTTTCAGGCAGGGGAGCGGCAGGTGCAAAGGCCACAGCCATTCAAGGAGGGCAAGTTCAGGGAACCTCAGGGAGTTGAGCATGGCTGGAGCACAGAGCGGGGAGGTGGAACGTGGTGACAGAACAGGCGGGGAGACAGGTAGGACCCTCTCAGGGGGCGCCTCGAGGCCTTGCAGAGGAACCTAGAATTTTCCCTGGGCTGGCCTGGGCTGAGGAAGGGGTCAAGCAGGACACACGCTGGCAGATGCTCGAGGCACAGGAACAGCCTTGGGGACGAGAAGACCAAGTCCCCTCGGGAAGATTCCTCCCTGTGCTCCAGCCCCTTCCGTCCTCTGTAAAATGGGGACAAGAGAAGTACTTATGGGGTGGTCATGCAGTCTCATCTGTAACAAACATAGCCCTAAAATCCCCATCAGGGCAGGGACTCTGCTCACCCTACGTCCCAGTGCCCAGAACAGAGCCCGGCATACAGTACGTGCTCAATACACGGCCACTACCCCCATCTGCATTTGTGGAGTGTTTTGATGGGCAGTGTGAGAATGGCCTGGCTGCCTGCAGGGCAGACAAGAAGAGCAGCAAACCCAACTGGAAGTTCCCTGGAGTAGCTGCCCCGACTCCTTAGGGACCCCATCCAGGCCCTGCTGGGCTGGGACATTCTGGCTCAAGGCACTAGTGCTGTTCATGAACAGTCCGCTTTGGAGCCTATCCTCAGGGAGGCCGAAGTTGGAAGAATCCTTTGAGGGCAGCCAGGGCAGGTTTTGTGGCACCCGGCACACAGTAGGTGCTCAAAACTTGTCTGTTGGAACCGAACTTGCCACCCCTGCGGCAGCCCTCTCCATCCCTGGATGTCTCGCCTTGGGGTTCTAGAAAGTCCTGCTGTGCAAATGTGCACCCTTCTCCTCGTACTCTCTGCAGAATAACCCGGGCTTGCTCTCAGATGAGGCCTTTGAGGTACAGGGAGCCCCCGTGCCCCCAGTGCCTGGCTCAAGGCCTTGTGAAAGGCAGTCCCACCGCCCCTGAGGGCCAAGGCGACTGAAAGGGGACAGGGAGCGGGGGAGAGGGCACACACAGGCCTGACAACTGGCTCTCGCCATCATCCCCTGAACCTTTTACCCTAGAAAGCAGGAAGTGTCCAAGCCTCAAACAGCTGCTGTTTCCGGAAGATTTGACTTTGCGTGCAGCTGGGTCCCCCAGGAGAACGCGTCGGGAGGAAGGAATTCATGATGGCCAGCCTTACCCAGCTCCAGTAACCGGCACTGAGCTCAGGAGGGCCACGCGGACTCCCGGCAAGCATTTGTTTCTGCTGCCCTTGTCTCCGCCCACCCTGCAGTTTCCCCGCGTAGGCCCACACCAGCCTGGCCTGTCTCTGATGACCCCCGAGTGGCCTCCACATAAATCACAGCAGTCACCTGCTGTTCCAATCCAGTGGGTGCAGGGCCAGGCCCTGTGACCTCAAGGCCTTCGAAGCTCCTAGGGCAGTCCTGGCTATGGAGGAAAAATTCTAGAGATGCTTGCCAAGAGATGAGGCTAGACCCTGGTGAGGCTGTGTCCACGCCCCAGCCCTGCCAGCCACTCTCTGCGACCCTGAGTAAGTCTCTTATCCTCCCCTGGCCTCAGATTTCCCATCTGTACAATGGCAAGTTAGGACTAGAAGAATCGAAGACATTTTCCACCTCAAAGATCCATCCACCCATTCATTCATGGATTCATTCATTCAGCAACATTTACGGAGCCCTTGGTCCTGGTGCGCAATAGGAAGGAGCTAACTTCTAGGGATATAGCAGTGATCAAAGCAGACAGAACCTCTCATGGAGCTTGCTTCTCACAGGAGAGCCACTGCTAAAGAAAAAAATAATAAATGAGCCTATATTATTCCAGGAATATAAGGACTAGACAGTAAAAGGAAACAGGGCAAAGGATCAGACAGCAGTGAGGTGGGGGCTGTCAGGGAAGGCTTCTTGGAGGAGGTGGCATTTGAGCCAAGCCCTGAATAGAGGAAGAACAAGCCAGATTCTATGAATTCTGTTTGCACAGATGATGGAAAGTGCTGATCACCATGTGGAGCAAAGGGCCCCAGCCTGGGACTCAGGACAAGTGCGTTCTTCTCCAGACACTCCCACTCACTCATTGTGTGGCCGTCGGCAAGTTGCTCCCCCTCTTGGAGCCTCCGTGTTCTCATTTGTGTCTGAGGATGGTAAGCCACAGCTCGGAGGTTCCTTAAAGCAGTTCTGAGAGGCTGCATTTCTGAGTATTTGGGTTCTGACTCAATCCCAGCCTCTTCTGTTTGTCGGGGGCTGTAGAAGGACCAGGCTTTGTCCCCATGGCCTATCAGGAGCAGTGAGAAGGCCCGGGGGCAGCCACACCCCTGCACTCACCTCTCGGCCCGCAGCTGCTGGGCCACAGCCATGGTGGGCGACGATCCCAGGGAGCAGGTGGAGAGTCTCGCCCACCTGGTCCCGGGCTGAGTTCACCTCTCACTTCCTCCAGCCACCCTGCGTCTCGTCTCAGCCTGCGGTCCTGGGAGTCCCCAGGAGCTGCCTTTGGGGAGGCACAGGCCTGCTTCTCTGCACTCTGGCAGAGGCTCCTCCTCCAGGCTCTCTGGGTCTAGTCTATGGCCCACAGCTTCCTCTTACCTCCCAGCTGCACAGCAATTGAGGAAGTGGACCCTTGGATGCCAGGTTTATAGCAATCCACTTCCTTGATGCCAGTCTTTGGTGTCAAGCCTCAGTTGGGCATAGAAGCCTTGCTCCATCAGAGATGGGGTCCCAGCCATCAGGGGGTCCACCTCTCCTGGGGAACTTCACATCCTCTGGCCCATCAATCCCAACCCTCATTTTCTCACTGCCAAGCCTTGCCCAAACTCTTCCCCAGGCCTGGAATGCTGGCCTCCATTTTCCTGTGATCCCTTAGGCCCAGAGTAAATGCTACCTCCTCCAGGAAGCCCTTCTGGTTCCTCTAGCCTCTGTTGTCCTAGAGTGTGAAATTTGGTTTGTGCTCCCTGGCACTCTAGGGTATCCCTTCCTCATCCTTAGCTCTCCATGCGCAGCCAATCCTCTTTCACAGGTCTGCCAATCAGAGCGAGTTTCACCCTGCCTGCTTCAACCGTCCTGCCCTGCCACTCCGTGCTCAGGAGAAAGTCTGGGGTCCTTGCTCTGCATGCCTTCGATGACCTTGAGGCCCTGAAGCCTTCCCCAGCCTCCGCTCCTGAGCTCTCTTTTTCTCACTGGCCTCCTTTCCATTTCTAGAATGTTCTAAGACATCTACCCCAAGGCCTTCGCACATGGTGTCCTCTCCACCGGAATGAGTGCTTCACTGCCTCCTTCGCATCTCGGCTTAGAAGTTACATCATTAGCAAGGCCTTCTCTGACCCCTCACCCTAAATGAAGACCCTCCCGCCTACACTCTCTTACAGATCCCTGCACATGTACTGCAAAGCATGCATAACTATTGTCATCTGAGGTTGTGTGTCTGTATGTTTAGTGACTGCCTCCCTGCTAGCAGCATGCCTGGCACATTGTAAGTGCTCAACCGGTATTCACTGAATGATGAAATGCTGCTAGTCCGTGACTGTGGCTCCTGACACACGTGGCTATTTGATTCTGAAGGAACCTCCCTGAGAAGAGGCCCACAGGAGTCATGGGCACAGCCACACCCGTAACTCCCCAGCAGCCACACACACTCTCACACTCGTATTCAAAGATGCAGAGCAGAAAGGCCTTTTAAACAATTTCACACATGCAAATCCTGGCTGAAAGACAAGAAAGCATAATTTTCAGGTAGGATCAAAGAGAGAGGTCAGGAATCTATGCCAGGGAGAGGGGAACGTGGCACACAGTCCATGGGAAAACCGAGACTGGATATGCATTGCTGGGGGTGAGATTTTAATACCAAATCTGGGACTAGGTACAGGCCACAGGTTGTGCTGTTGGCAGGAAGGCAAATGTGAGCTCTCGGTGTGAAGTGGGTGTCAGGACTGACTGTGGGAACAGAGTTTCTCAGCCATCTGCCTGGAGTCACGGCAGGAGTTGAGGTCCTCTCACAGGCCACGGGTGGAACCAGGGACATGTGTACCGGAGCAGCCTCAAGGCTGTCCTCTGCACTGGTGCAAGATCTGGATATAAGCTGCCCACATGGTGCAAAAACCCTAAACTGAGGCATTACATGAAAACAATTTGGAGTCAGCGACTCTGCAGGGCCTGCTCTGTCAACTCACAGACCAAAAGTACAAATCATCAGCTGTGAAAGACCACTCAGAGCCTCCACACCGTGAAGAATTCACACCCGAAGAACTAGAAAGAACACAAACAAGAAGTCCGATGAGTCGCTGGTATCTCGGGGCTCCCAGGCTAGAGGATAAAACAATGAGATGCGGAAGTAACAGAACAGGGTTATTAGTGCAGGTCCCTGTGAGTAGCAAGAGGTGCAGGCGGCCAGCCGTAGCTGAAGGAAGAGGAAGATGTCGATCTCCAGTTGGCAGGAAGGGCAGGAAGTGGCAAAACAACTTTAGCAAGCAAGCGCATACAGAACTGGCAGGTGATTGTGTCAATAGTGTGTGTAGCCTATGCCTACAGTGGGAAACACCTATGTGGGTCTAAACACATACAGCTTGCGTAGGCCAGGGTGAGTTTATGTTGTGTCTATAAAAGAGCATATAATGTGTATACTGGTGGCCTTGTGAGTAGGAGAGAATACACTTATGTGTTCGGATCGAAGTCGGTGCCCAATGAGTATAAACACGAGTGCATTTATAATAGGTGAATTCAGGCAAGTTGCCATGTCCATTTTGAACCTTTCTTCTTCACCAATCTGTAAAACAGGCTTGCCTAATGGAGTTGTAGTAAGAATTGGTAGAAAAAATGTATCAAAGTGCATAGACACTTGGAAGTTGCTTATCCTTTTTTTTTTTTATCGTTTTCTGTGTGTTTATCTGTGTGTGTGTGTTTCACGTGGGTCAAGCCCTCAAGTTTACCTTCCCAGGTTTTTTCAGGTGTGGCCTTCCCAAACCCCAGCCACCGCTACCCCCAAAACCTCCTGTGGCCCTGACTCAGCCACTGGAAAGCCATCTCTCCACCTGGGGGACAAGGTGTCCAGGGAAGAGCCTGTGATGGGCCCGCTCCTCCCCTCCTCCCCTCTTTCTCTCCTTTTCTTCTGACCCTGCCTGTGGTGCTGCTGAACACGGGTATTTCTCTGCCTCCTCATACACAGAGCACTGTGGCTAATTTTATGCCCGAGCTCTGATACAGTGTAATTTGAGGCCAGGCCCTCTGTCAGCAATGGGCTCCTGTCCTGCCGCTGCTGCAATGCCTGTACCTTCTACCCCCTCTCCAGAATTGGGCTCTGGTGGTTGCTGCTGCAGCGGGAGAATGAGGCAGAGGAAGGGCCTGGTAGAGGAGCCAAGCTCGTCACACGTTCCGTTAATCAAGTATCGATGGAGTCTGTTTTGGGTAAGTGCAAAGAAATGCCTGAAGTGACCTCTCACATATGGAGACCTGATTTTTTATAACCTCCACATCCCACAGTCTCTGAATAAACAAACAAACAAAAAAAGCCATTGAATGGTCAGAATTGGTAGCTCAAAGTCTATGCATTGACACTGGAATCTACTATTCACAGAAGAAATAAACAAGGAGCCTGGTCCTCTCTTCCTGACAATTCTTGAAGCAGTGAGTTAGGAGAGGGGAGAAAATTCCCCAGGAAAGTCAAATGCAAGTGACAGTTCAGTGACAGCCTGACAATAATAAAGACCATGGAATGCTGAAAAGAATATATATACTCAAGAACTCAAAAACAAATACCAGAGGCCATTCAGAGAAAGGCAGCTAGGCATCTTACAACACCAGTTACTAATGTCCAGGATCCCCAGAATCTGAATGGAAACTGGATGTGCAAATCATAAAAAATGCACAGCACTCTTCAATCCTTCCTCACGCAGGGGCTGGGGTATACAAGATAAGCCATTGCCCCCATTTTGGAGATTAGGAAACCCACCACTCAAAAGCAGCCAGCAGCCAGGGCTGAGAGCTCCAGCCACAGGAACTGAAACTCTGTGACAGGGAAGAGGAGAGCCTCTTCTGTGGACCAGGAGGCACCCCTGGGAGCTCATTATGGGTACTCAGCAAATGCTTGCTGCCCATATCAGCCACTCTCCCCGGTAAGAGAAGGAAAATCCCTGACTGGACTGTGTAAGATTCCTGGGGATCCCTCATGCACTCAATTCCCCAATCCTGACCCACATGTGTCTTGCTTTATAATTTATGAGGGACACTTCACTGGACCTCCTCCCTGAGCCATAAATAGCCATCCCTGGCAGGCCCCCATTGGAGTATTTGAAGGCAGGGAGGGTGTAGATGCAGCCAACTAGACAGCAAGCTCCCTGAAGGCAGAGAGTCTGCTCTTCTCTGGGAAAGCCTGCACATGGCAGAGCTGGGTCTAAATCTCACGTACCCTGGCTCTGTCATGCACTAACTGTGCAACCTCTCCCACCATCGTTCATTTTTCCAAATGGAGATAGTATTTGCCTCTACATTACTATTATTTGGAGGGGAAAATTGTAGGATTATTATATTGTTCACTCATTTACAAATGTGTTGAGCACCTACTATGTGACAGAGACCTACTGTGTGCTAGGCCCTAAATGAAACACAGCCACTGTTCTTGAGACACGTACTCACTAGAGGTGTGTTACATAAGGCAATGAACACTAAATGCTTAGGACTGTGCCTGGCGCATAGTAGGTGGTCAGTAAACTTTAGACGTTAATGTAATTATTGACTATCATTCCTTGGTGTGGCTTGGTCCCTCCCTTTTCTGACTCCCCCTGCTGCACAGCTTGGTCCTCTCTGTCACGCAACTAACATTAAATTCTAACTTTTTTCCCCGCATCTGTCACCTTCTCTCACCACGCGGGGGCAACCAGGACCCGCACTTCACTTGCGGACCCCGCTCTGCGCTTAATCTAAGTGTTGACGGGAACTGACCGCCAGGGGGCGCCGCGATCAGCAGTCGAGTCCCCGCTCTGCAGCGCCACCTAGAGGTTAAATGTCCTAAGTCACATTAGAACGACCCGGCCAAGTGGAGGGTCAAGCAGTAGCCAGCCAGGCAGAGTGCGCAGCCGGCTAGCTCAGACAGCCTCTCCAGACTGCCCCATCAGCCAGAATCTGAGCTGCACTCAGAAGCTGCTCTCTAAGCAGAATCTCCTCTCCACCATCATAAATACGGTAACAGCCAAGTCACTCTGAGAGTTGACTGTATAACCACCCCTCCACGGTGAAATTGCCAGGAGGAACACGTGAGCCAGCATTTGCAAAGCCCTTAGTACAGTGCCTGGCCCACAGTCCGGCTTGGTTCATGTTGGCTCTGACTGTTGTTACTTAATCCTCACACCAGCCCCCATAAAATAGTGGTATTCTTACCCCATCAGGAGATAAGGAAACCCAGGCTTTACAGGATTAGAAGAATAAATCAAAGTGATTTGCTTAATGACAGGCAGAGTAAGATGTGGACCTCAAATCAGGCTGACTTCTAGACCCACTCTGTTTGTTAATAACTATGCTGTGCTGGCGCTCATTCATTCATTCACTCCACAAGCACTCATCTAGCAGCCACTCT